TTTTCCCATTTTGTCTGATTATCTAAAGCCTCTCTATACTTTAAATAATTTATTTTTGAAAATATTCCAAATCAGTCAAAACCCTGAGAATTCCACAATTTCCTTCCAAGGGCATTTTTATCATTTTTAGCCTCATACAGGCCTTTGAACCTTATTCCTATTTTTCTAAAAAAATTTTGAAGTGTTCAGGCCTTAACTTACCATTTTCTATTTTCTGGGATTTTTGGGCATAAGTTCTATTTTTGGCCCTTACCAGCTCAAAACTTTGCAAAATTATGATTTTGCCCTTGGTTTGGATTAACCTCAAAATTCATCTCATTGAGACCTCCAACATAACCTTTAGCCTATATTTATCCCTATTTCTCATTCTTAGGCCTCGAGACTTCACCAGAGTCTCTAACTTTCTCTTTTCTCGATCCCAGAAAACTTTCCCTTTACAATTTAGTCCCTAAGAATCCCTCTGTCCTTCCAGGAAATCTTTGAGACCTTTACCAAAAAAGGTCTAGTAGCCTGCCCATTTCATGCTAATTTTGGTATTTTTAGATCCAAAATTCAGGATGTGACAAAACCATCATGAAAAGTTCTTTTTATGGTGGTTTTTAAGAAAGCTGCTGTGAAAAGTATTTTTACGATAGTTTTTAAAAAAACCGCCATAACAAATACTTTCAATGGCAGTTTTTGAAATAACTTTCTTAAAAAGTCTATCAGAATTTTAAAACCCTATCTCTCGTGTGATAGTTTTCACTTTTCACAGTCAGAGCTCATGGTTCCCCATTTTCGTCCCTACTTGATTTTCTCCCTCTTCCTACCTTTGTCAGCATTTATCCTTTGCTTCTATTGTCTCTGCCATGTTCTTCCATCACCATTGCTGTCGCTGTCGCTGTTGTTGTCGCCATCGCCTCATCGTCTTTATTCTTATTTGTGAGTTTTTCATCTTTTCTCCTCCATTCTTTTCATGGGTTTCATAGTTTTCGTCGTTTGGTTGTTTTCTTTGATTAAAAATATGATGCTTGTTATGAATTTAAATAGATTTGATTTTTGTCTCTCCCCTTCTTTAAACATACTTTGATACTTGAAAGCTTGAATAGATCCAATTTCTCTCTCCCTCATTTTGTAAATCAGAGTTTGACAGCTTAAAATTCATGAAGTTTATCATATTTGAGTCTTTGATTTTACCTTTATTAAATCTTAGTGGCTTCAATCTGGTAGTTGAAGGTGAAACTAAGTGGTGCTATTACGGTGGGAAACAAATCTATGTTTGCTCAATCAAAATGCTTTTGATTGGTACAAGTTATTGGTTAATTAATTCTCAAACCTCTTCCTTTGGGGCTTTGTTCCCCCATTCCATCCTAATTTGATGAAAGGTAAACTAAAAAAAAAAAAACTTTTCATAGTGGTTATTTATATAACCACCATGAAAAGTCACATAGCACAACAGTTCTTAAAACCGCTATGAAATTCTCTGCATTTTATGTTGATGGCATAGACGTCACTCTCAAAACCGCTGTGAAAAGCTCATTTTAACTGCAGTTAAATGTCTTTTTTGTAGTAGTGGTAGTTAGATAAGAAGCAGATAATGATGATGTGTAGATACAATAAATAATTTTGTTTGATTTGCCAAAGTCAACTGATATCTATATTGTTAATTAATTTAGATTTTAGCTGAGTGAAGTCCTATAATTTTTTAATGAAAATTGAAGAATTTGCTTAAAAATGTGAGTCACTTGTTACCTAACCCGACTATCATTTTGTTTATGTAGTCTTTTTTTTTCCTAATTTTGATTCAGCCTTGATCGATATATTTAAATTGATCGTTTGGTATAATGGAATGAAAAAAGATTTTTTGAATAATGTGATTTGCACTCTAGCAACCAAATACAATTTTAATACTTATTTCCATCTCTTTCTCCTTTATATTATTTAGGGTAAAAGTGCATCTAGCACCCCGAACTATTTTTAGAGGTACACCCAACACCCTAAAATATTTATGGGTGCAATGTTTACCCCAATATAATTATTTTAGTTCAATTTCTCCCCTCCACTAACAATCTACCAAAAGGATGTTTATTTTTACCAGATAAGCAATTTATTTTTTAAAAAATAATGACACCTAAGCATGAAAAAGCCACCTCTGTTTTTTTTTTTTGAAAAAACAAATGGGATATAAAGCTAGGTTTAGGTTTTGTAAAACATATGTGCGAAGATAACAAGGAGAACTAGGCGACAAAGTCAGTGGTGTGCGTGTGAGGAAAAGCATTGACAATCAAGTAAAACTCATCTATACTATACAGTTTGATTCTTCCTTCTATGTTGTAGTGAAATCTCATGAAAGCCCTCAATTGAAAGTGGATCTTACTAAAAAGATTTTGTCTTTTATTCAGAAAATGATTATAGATGCGAATCTTAAAGATGATGTGGACTGGGATAAAGATGATTTGGGTGTAGACAAAGATCATGGGAGGTGCACAAAGATGACGTGGAGATGGTTAATGGCGATGATGTGGATTTCATGATGAAGAAAAGCATGGAAGGTACTTGTAAATTCTATTCAGAACCTGGTTATGATTCTTAATTGCTTGTTCTATTTTTTTTGAATTGGCTTATTCTTCCTCCGCCGTATTGATCTTTTAATCACTTTTCACACTCAAATGTAGTTGTGTTTAATACATTGAAGGATCTTGCTCTGTTCATAATTTCTTCCTTATGTGAATAACTAAGTATTTCATGTGAGAAATTAAATTCCAAATTGCATTACTAGTTAAGCCTCGTACATGGGAAATTTAGCATTATATCAACCCACTGATTTCACTTATTGTAAGCATCGCCATCGTATTTAATAACTTAAATGCAATTTTTTGAACCATATTTAGCAACACCATCATATTTAATAACATAAATTCGATTTTTTAAACCATATTCAACAGTACTATCATATATATTGTACGCTAGGAATAGCTAGACAATTTTGACTCTGACCTTGTTAAGTGTCATAGTTGAAGGACCCTAAAATGGTTCTGAATTTATTTGGGATCTATCTCACTGAGAATTTGTTAATTCCTTTATGTTATATTATTTGTTAATTGTTATTTGCGGCAAACAAGACCTTGCAATACGAATTTGTTAATTGCTTTATGTTACATTATCCATTGTATTACAATTGATTTTGTTTGCTGCAATAGAGTCATTAAATGAGCAATCTGAGGGTGAAGAGAAAGATTCAGAAGGTGAAGAATCTAATGGTGATGAGGAGAAGTTAGGAATTGAAGAATTTGACAGTGAGGATGAACTAAGGGAGTTGATTGATCATAATGACATAAACAAAGGACCCTTTTTCATGTTGGGAATGACATTTGCCAACCATGAAGAATTGAAGAAGGCCATTAACCAATATGCAATAATGTATGGGGTTAAAGTCAGATTATCCAAGAGTAAGTCCTTGAAAGTGAGAGCTATATGTCAAGAGGGATGTCCTTTCGTTTTGTATGCTTCAAAAGAGGGAGCCAACCCTGGATTAAAAGTAAAAACTCTGTGTTATGAGCACAGATGCCTTAGGATTTATAAGAACCCAAGAGCCAGTGCAAAGTGGCTAGCTGGGTACTTTAAAAATAAGATTCAAGAGAGACCATAATATAAAATAAGAGATATGAAAAAAGATGTAGAAGCTAACTTAAAGTTGCATGTGAGCCTCCATAAATGCAAAAGAGCAAAGATGTTAATAATGGAAGAAATGGAAGGAAGTTATAAGGATGAGTTTGAAAATTTAGAAGCTTATTGCAATGAGTTGAGAAGCTCAAACCCAGGTTTGGATATCAGTGTGGAAGTGAGCAAAGAAGCTTTAGAGAATGGGAGAAGAGTATTTAATAGAATGTATGTTTGCTTTAATGCTTGCAAGGTAAGATTGATGTCTATAGGTTTTATTTATTCTAATTATTTACTATAATACCTTAAATATGTATGTACGAATTAATTGGTTGTTTATTTTTGCATGGTTTATAGATTGGGTGGAAGGCTGGTTGTAGGCCATTTATTGGGTTGGATGGGACTTTTCTAAAAGATAAAGCTAGAGGAATTCTTCTCGCACAATAGGGATTGATGCAAATAATTCTTTATATTCACTTGCATTTGGATTGACTCAACAAGAGAATAAAGTAAATTGAAAATGGTTTTTGCAATGGCTCAAAGAGTCATTAGATCTTGGGGATGGATCAACAGTCACATTAATGTCTGATATGCAAAAGGTACTTGTAATCACTTCACAATATTTCATTCTATCATATTCATAGTTCTAAATTGAGCTTTTTATTTTTAGGGACTGTATTTGGCTGTTCAAGAGGTTCTACCTGAGTGTGAGCATTGGTTATGTGCTAGACATATTTATACAAATTGGAGCAAATGGTAGAGGGGACTTGAGCTGCAGGAAAAAAAAATTTTCTTGTGTGTGGACCACATTTGATGAGCAGTTTAAGGACAACCTAAAACAACTAGGAGGGTTGAACAAGGAGGCAGCAAAATCAGCTATGTCCTATGGTCCACAACAATGGGTAAGAGCATATTTTAGCAATAGGTCTCAATCGTGGATTGTGGACAATAATGTAAGTGAAAGCTTGAATGTATGGATAGACAAATATAGGTATCTTCCTGTTATTCATATGTTTGAAGGGATAAGAGAGAAGTTGATGATTAAATGGGCTGATAGTGTCAAAATTGCACAAAAATGGAATTGTGACTTTAGCCCAAAATGTGTTGAACTATTTGAGTCCAATAGACACTTGGCTATGGGTTGTCGAGTAGTTTTCAATGAGAATGAAGGATATGAAATAAGGAAGGGGTCAGATAAACATACTGTTTTCCTTGGTAGGAAGTTATGTGCTTGTAGGGTATAGGAATTAACGAGGATCCCTTGCCAACATACAATTTGTGCATTTTATCATACCAAAATTGAACCAAGTTGTCACATATCCAAATACCATAATAAGAGCACATACTTGGCTAGTTATGACATGAAATTACAACCTGTTAAGGATAAAAATTTCTGGAAGATAGAGAATTTTCAGTCTATATACCCCCTACTATTATGTAAGTTGCCTGGAAAACCCAAGAAAAAAAGAAAGAGAACTGAAGGAGCAAGTAGGATGAAAAGGGTAGGGATTGTTTAACAAAATGCTCCTCATGATGAGGCTGCAATGCAACAACCAATAACTAAAAAGTTGACAAAGTCAAGTTCTAGAAGTAGATGCAGTATTTATAGGCAAGAAGGGCACAACAAATCAACCTATAAGGAGGTAAGTGTATCCTAAAGTATTTTGTTAACTAGTTTTGGCATGTTTCCTAGTTTAATAATAATTCTTCATTGGTTTGTCACCCTTTTTAACCATTTTGCATTTTTCAAATCTTTTTTTAAAATGATGTAGCGTCCTCCATCAACAAACAAAAATACAATAAGAAAAAAAAGAGGAAGACCCAAGAAAGTTAATTGCTCGGCTAGTCAAGATACTCAACAAAATCAGGTCACTGAAGAAGCACAATCTCAACCAATAAGAAGTTCCCACAAGAAGAGAGTTGAGTGTGGTATGGGCATTAGAGTTGACTTAGACATAGGACGAGCTGTATTAAATGTAAGTTCCTTTTTTTCTCTTGCTTGTTATTTGGGGATCTAATTGAAATAAGCATGTATGCATTCATCTAGTAATAACTAGCTAGCTATTGCCTAATTCTTTTGCCTTGGTCTACCTTGGAATGCCATCCGAGACCATAATACAAGAGGGGACTGGTCAACACTACATGGAACATTATGCTAAGCTTGGGACACATTTCCCAATACCAAATGAATAGGAGATGAGGAAGAGCTATCACTAAAATTCAAATAATAGTCAAGAAAGAAGAATTGCACTCATTAATGATGGTGCAAGAGTCTCACATCCAACTCAACTTCCATTCACACCACCGGGCTTAAGATGGATGGGACAACCGTGCTTAACTAATTCACAACTACAAGCAGAAGGACAGAGGAGGATTGCTTTACAGAAGACTAACTCAAAAACTGATGGCTTATAGACCTATTTATTTTGTAGTAATATATAAATGTATATTTTGGTCTACAAAGGTTGTGCATTTTGACACCATGGATTATGTCACCCTTTTAGAAATGATTATATATTACATTGATCGATTATTATTATGTCATCACTTATCACTTAGATAAGTATTAAATTATTTTAGTGACTTTATACTTTGTTTTTGTTATTTTCCTATTCACTTAAATTGGTTAATCATGAACAATGTTTTCCTGATGCTATATTGTTGCCGTTCAATTTTCATTGTTCATCTCTTCACAGTCTGCTACTCCATTCGATGACAATAGAAAAATTTAAATTAAAAAAAATCCCAAAATGGCCTCTACTTAAAATCTCTCACTTCACGTCATCTCTCAAGCTCCATATATATGAGACCGACATGAGTATTCAAGAAAAAGACAATATTCCAAATTTTCAACAGGACCAGAAATTCCATTTTGTTTTAATTTATTTTCTCTCTTCTTGGCACCTAGCAATGAAACTTCCAAATAAGTCATTAGTTTGTTCTGTTCTTTTATGAAATGTTTATCGGCCAAATGGCGAAATCTGATGTTCCCACACTCGTATCATCTTGGCCTTTCCCCGGATCCCATATCACTCTTAAGGGAAACAAGTGCCTTCATAGACGAAGAACGTGAATAACATAAGTCATTAGTTTGCTCTGTTCTTTTATTAGATTTTTATTGGGAGCTTGGTTAGTATAAGTCCGTCTCTATATGGGAATTGTTGCTCTTGTATGTTGCCACCATTTTTTTAAAATAGAACCAAATTATAGTGAAAATGTAATACATGAAGCCGAAAGCCGAAACATGTGGCAAAGGAAAGCAAATAGTTCTATGAAACAGAAAAATTTCAGATTCAGAGATGGTAATTAAAGTTCGCCAAACAGCCACACACTTGGAAGAAAAAAGCCGATCTCCTCCTGAAGTTTCTAGAAAAACGTTCAAAATTAGATTACCGTATTCATGTTCTCCCTGTCGCCTGTGTCTTCGCACAAGGAGTTTTAGAAAACCGACAACGCTAAAGCTCATATCAGGTGTGTTTTTCTCCAAAATAAAAATAAAAATTACACAGGCGGCTTTTCCTCACCCGCACCCCGCTGATTTTGTCACCCAGTTCTCCTTGCTCAATCGCGTCTCCTCACATGTGTTTTGCAGAGCCAAAACCTTCGTTCATTTGAGATGGAGATCATTCTTTCGGGAAATAAAATGCACAGGTGGCTTTTTTATGGTTAGGTGTCATTATTTTTTTAAAAAATAAATTGCTTATCCGGCAAAAATAATCATCCGTTTGGCAGACTGTTAGCGGAGGGGAGAAATTGAACCAAAATAATTATATTGGGGTAAAAATTACACCCATAGATACTTTGGGGTATTAGGTGCACCTCTAAAAAAGTTGGGGGTGCTAAATGCACCTTTACCCTATTATTTATATCATGTTTTCATTCTTTCAAAAATCTTAATGTAACAACCCTTATGAAATTAGTAAGCTTAAATTATAAGCATAAAAAAATTATGTTAACTTTTTTAAAAAAAGTTTAGAAGAGAATTTAAATTAACTTATAAGTCATATATCTATCCCATATCCAACAGGATTCTTCTAGCACTCTAACAAATTCTTAAAATAGAATAATTTAAAACTTAATATATATATATAATAAAAAAATATTATTATTAAGATTTCGTAAACTTAGGTACAGAAAACCTTAGATTCGTGTAACTCCCTTGCCACCCACAATACAGTAAAAAATAAAATTTCTCATTTTCGAAAACATATTTTTTTTCAAAAAGATTATTTCCTTATTAAACACAATTTATTTTAATAGATAATTATCTAAATTATCCTTTAGCTGATTACTTAATCAGTCGTAAGATGAAGATCCATAAAATATTTTGAAATCTAAATTTGAAATGTATTAATGTATATTAGAAGATATCTAGATATTATTAATATTGCTCATTATACTAGAAGTTATCCTATAGAATTTATTAGAAATCTTATTTTAAATCCTAGTAACATTTCACAATAAATAGTGATAACAACAAAACCTACAATATGATTTATTTTAGTTTATCTATTTAAATTCTTATAAGATCCTCACTTTTAAACCCTATTATGCGTAATTCGCTCCCACTTGTCGTCCTCCATGACGCCGAAATCCCCACCTTAACATTCTTACATCCTTCCTTTGTGCACTATTATTTCTTTCCTATGCTTTTGATAAATCGTTCCCCCGCCTTGCCTTCTTCTCTCGTATACCCCAGATCACAATTAAATTCTTGAACATAGTGCAATCCCCTTTGACATCATCAAAATACAGCTCAGGTGTTACTAGCGAGGGCTTCTTTGGAGGTGTTCACTTTTAGTGTGGTTAACGAGGGCGATTCCAACAGGTGAGGGGGTCAATAGTAAGCTGGCACTATTCATTTCACCTTTTTATGCTCTTAGCCTTATCTATAATTTTCTTGTTTTTCTTATTCCGGTCTATCTGGGAAGCAATTCCAAATTGTTTTACCTTTTCTTTATACTTTTAATGTGAGATATTTATTATATTATAACTATATAGATATTAATTAGGATAATTAATGAATATCCTGTGTGTGACCTATAGTTATTTTAGTTCCAGTCCAAGGTGAGTAATTGACTCACACGGTATACTAAGTCTAGAGCAAAACTCTAATTCTATTTTTTGTTCATTCTCTGAGAGTTCCTCATTAGTGATGGCTACATTCCAGTTGCTATTACTATAGCCAATCACTAGCTGGAAGATTCCCTGTATCATTTTCTCTAACGGTGTTTTTGAATTCACAGCTCTCTATCATTCAGATCAAATTCTTCATCAAATTAACTGAGCTAATAGTAAGAAGTATTTATAAGTCTACCGCTATAACTCTTTTGAATATCTTATACATGTATATGCTTTAAATTTCATTAAATAATATATATACATGTGTTGTTTTGCTTACATGTGCTATCAAAGCCAAGTTTCCCAATTCATCTCGCCAAAGTCTTTTATGATGCTTATTTGAATTTGTTTAATTTTTTACTTTGAAAATTATTTTAATCATTTTGAGAGCATCTCTTTTTATTTATTTAATTTATTTTTGATCTGAATATTTTTTCATGATTTTTGGATAAATTCAGAGAGGTCTAGTTATGACTTTTATGTTGTTTTATTTTTATGGCAATGAGAGGCAGATTAATCTGGGAAAATTTTGAACTTTTAGCTAATAAAAGAATCAGCTTCCAGCATTCCTGAAAAATCATGTTTGTCCCGTTGCTGAAATTTGAGGTATGGCCTATTGTTATTTTTCAAAATTTTGTTTATCATTGTTCTGGGTGAGAGAGCTATTGAATCTGCCACCAAACACCGTGAAAGTTGCTTGAAACAGTGTCTGGTTCGCTAGAAATCATGGCTGGAAAATTTGCAGTGGCGGCGGCTGTGAGAACTATAAAAACGGGTTAGGATTCGGGTTAGATTAACCCGAATCCATATATATATATATATATATATAAAGGGCCAAGAACCAGAACCAAAACCAAAACAATAAAAAAAGAAAGTGTTCAACCCATTAGTGAAACACACTAATTCAGGAGTCGTGGGTTGACACATTTCGGCCCTGATTTTCGGTTTCTACATTTTTTTGTTGTTTCATTTGTTCTGTTTTTTTCCCAACTGGCCCAGGATTTTGGGTCTTTGTAATTTAACAATTTTTGTTTCATTTTCTGAACTGGGCCGAACGTGTTTGCGCTTTATTTTTCTGGATCTAATTCTGGATTTCCATATGGGCCTTTCTTCTTAGGCTTTTGAAAAATCAAACTGATTTATTTTGTTTGAATTTGTTTTTCAACTGGGCTATCCAATTTTTCTAGGTTTTTATTGTTAGAAATTGTGTCCTAGGAGCCAATCATTTTGCTATGAACATTGTTAATTTAT